TGTGTGGGCTTGGATGTCTGCGTAAGTTTTATGTTTTGTGCAGTGGCTGCCAGCTGAACACAGTAGGAGAGCACCACTACTCCTGCTCATCCAACTCTCCTCCCTTATAGTTTAACCAGGATTCAAATGGGCCTTCCCCATTGCCGCACTCTCCTATTCACCCCCCAAATTCTTACTGGTCCTGTTCTTTTATTCTTCATCCCATCTTGCATGCCTACTCCTGCCATCTTTACACTCGTCTGAGTCCCTCGTGTTTCACAGTAATAGAAGGTGCAGTCAGAAGTCGTCTTTCCCCCTCCTCTACCAGGTACCTCTGGGGTCATGGCACAGTGTGTCCCTCCTGTGGGGGAAACCCTCTCTCCTCTGAGGCCAAACCTTTGACTTGTAATCCTGCCCATCTCTTTCTTTAGGAGAACCACACAGGCAGATGTTTCTTTTCTCTCTTGCCCCATCCTTTCTTTCTTACTGGAACTTTCCTGTGTGCAAATGCACCAGGTCTTCATAGCACCCTCCCCCGATTCTCCTGAGCCGTCACTGTAGCTCTGTGCTCCCCTTTCCAGCAAAACTCCTCAAAGTCTCCTCTGTTCCCCATCACCACTTCCTCTCCCACATTCTCTCCTCCAGTCCACTGAGGAGATTTGGCCCTTTTTCTTTTTTCTTTTTTTTGAGACAGGTTCTCACTATGTGATCCAGGCTGCCCTTGAACTTACTGTGTAGCCCAGGCTGGCCTCAATCTCACAGCCATCCTCCTGTCTCAGCCTCCTAAGTGCTAGAACGACAAGCATGAACCACCACACAAGGTAGTTTTTTATTTTGTTTTGTTTGGTACCAAGGATTGAACTCGGATTCTTAAGCGGCAGGTGGTGGAACCACTGAGCTAAATCCCTGGCCCGAAAGTTTTTTCTTTAGGGAAAAGTTTAGTTTAGTTTAGTTTAGTTTTGAGACAGGGTCTTGCCATGTCCTTCAGACCAGCCTTGAACTCACTGTGTAGCCCAGGTTGGTTTTGAACTTGTGGTGATCCTCCTGCCTGAGCCTCCCAGGTGCTGGGATTATAGTTGTGTGCCACCATGTCTTACTTGTTTGAGGGGTTTTTGTTTATTATGTTTTGTTTTGGTTTTGGGTTATTTTGTGGGGGTGTTTTTTGGGGGGATCAAACTCGGATCCCTGTGCTTGCAAGTCAGGTGGCAGAACCACTGAGCTAAATCCCTGGCCTTGTTGGTTTTGTTTTTGAAATAATGTCTCACTATGTAGTCTATGCTGACCTAACTTGTGATTCTCCTGCCTCAGCCTCTTGAGTGGTGGGAATACCCACCACTGCTGGCAGGAAAAGGTTTCTAGAGGATTTAACTCAGTGGTGCCGTGCCTGCCTCACAAAACAAGGTCCTGAGTTCGATCCCTGATACTGAAAAAAAAAAAAAAAAAAAAAAAAAAAAAAAAAAAAGAGGAGGAAGAGGGGGAGGTTGTTTTTGGAGGAGAAAAACATGTTGCCATCTACCTCCTCATTTATTGCTTGGGATGTTGTTTATGAGGATGGAAAGCTGGAGCCGGGGCAATTATCTTGTGATTGTAAGGTCACATGTCAGTATAATGAAGATGGCAGAAAAAAGAAAGAGCCTGGAACATTACTGAGCTGCAGGGCCAGCTTTAACACTATCAGTAAGCTCCAGATAATTATATGAGATAATAAAACGCTGTATTAGTCACTTTCCTGTTACTAGGACAAAATACCCAACACCCACAATTTGGGTTCGTTTGGGTTTACTTCAGCCCACAGCTGGCTGGCACTTAGGCTGCAGCAGGGTGGCAGAGTGGTGTGGCCAAGGGAAAGGTGCTCAAGCCACAGCAGCCAGGTGACAGAGTTCAGGGTGGAGCCAGGGATGAGAAGACATGTTTCCAGGTTGTGCCCCAGTGAGCCACCCCAACCAGGCCCACCTCCAGACAGCTCATTCGGCTGCTGCACTCAGTGAGGGATGAGTCCCCTGGAAGGGCAGCATCTCCAGGATCCAGCCGCCTTCCACACATGAGAATTTTAGATCCAAGCCATAGTAAATGCCATTACCATTTTCATCACGTATTAATTGCGGCTGAAAATAGACTAGTCCTATTCAGTGCGATGGGGTTTTCCTTGTATACCCCAGCACCCTGTGGAAGTGGGAATTAGTCCACTTACAGGTCTTGTGGAGGTGGGAGGCCTCAGGCCACACATGCTGGGGTAACCCAGCAAAGGGTCCATGGCCCTGTCCTGCAGATGAACTCAGGTAGTGTTTCTGTGTGAACAGTGAGTGGAACACTTCAGAGCCTGCACTGGAAGTTTAAAGCATTGCTGACTGACAACAAAAATATCCCTTTTGTTTCCCACAAAAAATTCAGGCTGGAGAGAATGTTTTTCTTAGTTATACAAAAGCTCTGTAGCTTTCAGTGATGGAGATCTCGCAGCAATCCACACCTGGCCCTTGTCTTCTACTCATCATGGATCTGCTAAGTAAACACCACAGCTATGGAGGTAACAACATCTGTGGCACTGCATTTGACTTTTTTGGGTGACTATTATAAAATAATCCTAGAGCCGGGCATGGTGGCGCACTCCTATAATCCCAGCACTTGGGAGGCTGAGGCAGGAGGATCACTGTGAGTTCGAGACCAGCCTGGGCTACATAGTGAGTTCCAGGTCAGTCTCAACTACATAGTGAGACCCTGTCTCAAACCCCCCCCCAAAAAAAATCCTATAACTTGTGTGTCCTGTATTTGCTGGACAACTTAGCAGGGCATAGAATACCTGGATATTAGTATTCTCACCAAGCACTTTGTGTGTAAGTATGTGACAGCAACATTTCCCAGAAGAGACCCTGAAGCCCAGAAAGGCACTACACACAATAATTTAGCCAAACTCCCAACCGCTGTGCAGTACCTCCAGTGCCACAAGTATTGTGACTTCCACGTTTCTGGTATTTCCTTAGCAGATCCATGGTGACTAGAACACAAAGTCCAAGTGAGACGGGTTTGGGCTGAGATCTGATCTCAATGCCTGGCTTCAAAAGCTGAATCCCCCCACACACCTGGCAGGGTGTCACACACCTGTAATCCCAACTCAGAAGGCTGAGGCAGGAGGATTGCTATGAGATCAAGGTCAGCCTGAACTACAAAGTGAGACCGTGTCAAAAAAAAAAAAAAAAAAAAAAAAAAAAAAAAAAACCCAAACGGGTCAGGGATTAAGCTCAGTGGCATTCTGCCTGCCTCCCAAGTGCAAGGTCACTCCCCAGTACCAAAAGTAAAATAAATAAATAAACAATAAAAGGGCTGGAGCCAGATGTGGTGCACACCTGTAATCCCAGCACTTGGAAGGCTTAGGCAGAGGACTGCCATGGGTTTAAAGTCAGCCTGGACTATACAGGGAAACCCTTGTCTCAAAAAGAAAAAAATAAAATAAAAGGAGGCTTTGGCATGTAGGTCAGTGGTAGGGCCCTTCTCCTGGACTCAAGCTCTAGTCCTCTCCCCCAATAATGGTTCCCAAGGCCAAATACAGGGGGTAAACTTCTGGGGGATATCATGGGGGAGCTGAAGTAAGGGAAGTAGGTTCCTAGGTAGGAAGAAGAGGACAGAGAGGCTGCCACACTGGGGGATAGGAAGGCCAGGGGGTGGAGAAGAATGAAGAGAGACGGGCTTGTTCTGGGATGCAGCACAGTGGCAGGGTGGCAGGGCTAGGGAAGCTGAATCCAGGCAGCCTTCAGGTCTCATGTGCAGGCTCCAGTGTTTCACCCTGGGCTGCTCTCAAATCCCTGTCTGTCCGTGAAGATCCTGACTGCTGACCAATGTCCCCTCCTCCTGGCATGTCCTCAACACTCAAGTCCACCTCCTGGGCACCCTTCCCCGAGAATCCTTCCCTGATGCCCTCCCCAGTGGGACATGCCCAAAGTACACTCAGCTGTGTCACCAAGCCTGAAGCGAGGGCTGATCACACACACTTAGCTCTGCAGAGCTCCTCAGGGCCGCACAGGGCAAAGTCTGGAGCCCAGCAGGTGCCAAAACCTACCCATTCCTCTTGGGACCTCTGCTGCACCTGTGACCTCTCAGGCCCAGGTTCTTGCCAGGCCTCCTCTGCGGTCTCCCCTTCAACCTCGGCCCTGTCCCACCATTTCTGCAATGTCACGCTTAACTCCTATGTTGTGCAGTCAACAGCTATTTCTTAAGTCCCTTTCTGGGCTGAGATGTAACTCAGTGGTGCTGCACCTGCCCAGCAAGCGCAAGGTC